AGCGATGCTCCACACCGCCACCTGCCGGCCGCGCAGGACAGGCCCCCTCGCCCGGGCCTCGGGAAGAAGCCGATTCCGTTCTTCCGAGAGATCTTTACAAGAAGTGAAAGGGTCCCAAGAAGAAAAGGCAGCTCCCGCCGCCTGCGGGCCTCACCCCGTTTCCGTGTCTCTACAGCCCCGCGTCCTGCGTTGTGCGCCGGCCCCTGGGCTCTGGAGCATCGCTCAGGGTCGCCCCGGGTTTCCGCCCTCATTTCCACGGCCCAGCATTCGCTGCGCGGCGCCTCGCCGTTTCCTCCCATCCTGCCCTGAGCATCTCCTGGGGCATCTTTCTCATTTCAGGGTCTGTGGTTGCTCCATCCACCTGTGCGTTGGCGCTGGCCCCACCCAGCTGAAATCTGGACTTGTTCTTTTTGGTGGTGGTGTTTTCCAAGAGGAGGTTTCCCAATACCGCACTGATCCATTCCCAGAAGTGGAATGGTCTCCCCAAAGACGGGGACATGTGGGCTTCTGGTGATTTCTGCCACATGTCTTTCCAAATGTTTTGGGTAATGAGTGAATTCTAGGACTGAGTGGAAAGGGACACTGGAGGTCCCTGGACTCAATCTCTGCCTGACCCAGGAGCCCCTTCCAGCTTCCGACTTTAAATGGACTCCCTCAGGGACACGGTGCTCCCCACTACCCAAACCAGCGCGGAGCACACATAGGCAGTTCTGACTGTGAACTGCAGGAGTTGTGTTCTTGGGGTCCAGTGTGTTCAAGGCCAAGCTCCTGGATGCTATGGAGCCGTGGGGTTGAAAGTCGAACTTGACAGTCAGGTCATCCTAGGGTACAGGATGCCACTTCACAATTGTGTGGCCTTGGACCAGTGACCTAGCCTTGGCAAGCCCCAGTTTCCTAACCTGTCTTGTGGGAACCTGTCCCACAAAGTGGCGATGAGATTCTGGGGAGACAATGCATGCCAATTCCTGGGCATAGTGCGCGCACCTCTTGGGGGTGCTTAATAAATAAGAGCTATCCTCCTGCTCCTGCCCTCCTGCCCTTCCCTCCTCCCCTCTCCACGGCTTAACCCATGTTTTCATCTTCCACTTGGAGAAACAGAGGCCAAGGGACAAACTGAAGACACTATATGTGTGTATATAGGTGACTACGTGTATCTATCATCTGTCTATCTACCTGTCTATCCATCCATCCATCCATCCATCCACCCACCCATCCACCCACCTACCCACCTACTATGTAATATTTTATTCCCTCCCAGAGACCAGTATCTCAAGGCCATCTGAGATTGGAGAAGGTCCTAGAGGCCATCTTCCCTGGACTTTCAGCTCAGTAGGAGCTGACCCTCACCCACCACTTCAACTTTATTTCCTCACCCTCCTTTGCTCATTGCATTCCAGTCAACTCAACCGTATCTTTTGTCCTTGAACAAGCCACACTCTTTTACACCTCAGGGCCTTTGCACTTGCTGTTCTCTCTACATGTGGAGCCCTTGCCCCCAGACCTTCCCTTGGCTGGCTTCAGCCCAGGAGCTAGGTTTTAGCTTAAATGTCATCCTCCCCAAGAGACCTTTCTGTACACCCTTGATAGCATTGCCCCGCCCCATCCATCATTTTTGAGTTCATTACTCTCTTTGGAGTTACCTTAGTTTACTGGTTAACTCTCTGTGAGCCCCACAGGGAGGGGTCCTTGTCTGTCTAGTGCACAGCTGAGTCCTCAAGTCCTCACTAAGTATTTATCCACGGCTTGCCCGCCCTCCAGGGTGTGCAGGAATGCTCTGGTGCTGGGGCGCCCCTCCCTACTCAGCACCTGTGCCTCAGGCCCTTCGGACAGGCCAGTCTTACCCCTAAAGCTTTGGGCTCTCAGGTCAGGAACGTCTCCCTGGGCCGCAGGTTGGGAGGCTGGGTGGCCCTTGGCGTCTGCGCCCTCAGCGGTGGCTCCTCGAACCACACAGTCCCTGGAGGCTGGCACATGGAGGTGGGCAGAAGGCTGGCGGCGGGCGCAGGCCGCTGGCGTTGCCGGGCGGGACGGCCACAAACACCTCGTTGCTGGCAGGGGCTGGAGACGTCTTGCTCAGAGCTCCTGGGAGGCAGAGGCTGGGAGGTCCTAATGATAGCATGAAGGTTACAAATTTGCACAGAACTCGTTAATTTTTAAACAACATGCTCCCTACCCCTGCTCAGGACAGCCACCCGAGGGTGGCACCACAATCTCTGATTGTCTGGGGGAGCTCCACTTGGAGAAGTGAATGGCCGTCCTAGGTCAAGGGTTTCTAGGTGAGGCAAGGCCAAGACTTGAATCCCGTCTCTCTACCCCTTGGGGCCACCTCCTTTATCTCTGCTCTGTTACCTGCAAAGGACATTTAGGAGGAGCATGAGTTTCAACCTCCCCGTTTCCCCAGAGAGCACGCGTGACCTGCCCAAGACCACACAGCCAGTGGAGGCAGAGCCCAGCCAGCACGGGTCTCTTTACCTGGGACTGGGACTCAGGCCATTTCCTGTCCCTCAGCCCCGGGAATGAGCTTGTGTAATGAATGGCCCCTGGTAATTTCCTGCTGTAGGAGGGCCCTCTTTGGCCACCCAAGCAATCACCATTAATGCAGCGCGGATTATGGATGATGGAAACTATGTATGCGCGTCTGGCCTGAGCAGAAACCACCCAGCTGTCAGGAGATGAGTTTACTAAGCAATAGCTGAGTGAGGGAACCGCCCCATTATACAATGAAAGTAGAGTCATTCTTCTCAATTGCATTAAGGGCTTTGGCACACGGCCCTGGAGACAGAAGCCAGGATTTGAACTCTGGACCCTCTAGTTACTGTGGAACACGGGGAAAGATGGCCACCTCTCCTTGTCTCAGTTTCCTTCCCTGTAAAGTGGGGATAATAACACTGGCAGGAATCTCACAGGGTTTGATGTGAATTAAATGGAAATAACACATATAAACCCAAGAAAAAGCCCTCTCTTAGAGAGACAATATAAATATGGGTCAGATACAGAGTTGAGCCCAGAGCCTAGGAGCAGGAGCAAGAGAAATTTGCAACCCAGTCCCAAAGGTGATCATTGGAGCATTTACTGGGAGCCCCAGGCGTAGGGCTGGGAATACAAAGAGGGATTAAGGCTGGATGTCCTGCCCCTGGGGTCTTGCACTGTAGGACCACTGCCCCCAGGGCCACTGCCCCCAGGGCCACTGCTAGGAGAGAGGGGTTCGTGGGGGGAGGGGCAGGGGCGACACCAGGGTCCTCAGAAGCAGCTGCCCCTCCTCCTTCACCCCTCACCGCACATCCTTCGCTTTTCTTTTCTCTCTTTTTCATCCCTCTTTCCTTCCTCACCCACTGGCCGTCTCCCCCCTGCCCGGCACATCGGGGAAGAGCAGACGGTTGCCGAGGACGCTGCTGAAGGTCCCCTGGCCCGAGAGTCTAAGGAACCGGGAGGGGAGAGAGCTGGCAGGCAGGCGGAGGGGCCCCGCCGGCTGTGCTCCTTGGGGTGTGACTAATGAACGCGTCGGCCCTCACGTCATTCAGAGAGACAGGCCTGGGTTATTCGTTGAGCTTAGAGATGAGGAAACAGGGCTTCAGAGAAGGTGAGGGTGTCTCCCGTGGCCACACAGCACCTCCGCGGGAGAAGTGGGGCGGGCCCTGGTCTCCCATGTCCCAGCAGAGGGGCTGCTCACCTCTCCGATTGCATCCACCCCGGCTTTGAAGCCTGCCTTTGTCAGAGCGAGGGCCCAAGGCCCCGACTTTTCTCCTTGGAGCAATAGGTCTAAAGTGCTCAGGGGTCACAGGTTGGTAAATGAGCCCGATGGGGGCCGGAGGGGCCGGCCAACTTTCCACTTCCTCGAGTAAGTTCATTTAAAGAAATCGTCCGTGTTCTCGTCATCATCTAGAAGGGATATTTAACACTAGAGAGGGAGAGAAGGTACACTTTTGGAATAAAATGGCAAAACGTTTAGGCGGGACAAATTTAACTGGGTGAAAACCTCACTGTTTTGCCGGAATAGTTGTGAATTCACCAGGGACAGGTGAGAACCGTCCGAGACCCATGGTGATCGGTGGCATGTTTCTGAGCATTCTCCAGGGTTCCCAAGAGTTGGCGCCCTGGCTGGACTGTCCCCTGGGCTCTCGGATGGGGCCTGAGCAGCCCAGGAAGCAGCACAGGTGTCATTACCAACACCTCTCCCGGCGGCTGGTGAGAGATGCAAACACGCCTACAAAAATAGGCCGTCAGCTGATAAGGCGGGGTAGGTGGCAGTCCGAGCAGGAAGGTGTCACATAGTGCCTGAGACTGCAGTCCCTTCTCTCTACCCTCCTCCCCCCAGCAGCCACCACCAGCATCTCGGCACCCTCAGGCCAGGACCACCCCTCTGCCTATTCCAGAGGCCACCTGGCCCAAGCCCCTGGCCGTGTGCCACCAGAAAGAGAACTCTTTTTTCCAATCAGCCAGAGGCAAATTTAAACACTGATGTGCGTATGCCAGAGACAGGCAAGTGGAAAGGAGGGACAATTCCAGTCCACCAGGGGAACAGACACAGAAAACACCAGGACATCCGCAATGGGCGTGCTCTCCACGGCTGGATGAGCCCTGGGAACCTCACACGCACTACTTTTTACAAGTTCGCAGACCACTGGCATCTGTACGAGACCACAGATACCTGGTCTCCCATTAAAACTACATGGCCCACTTGTCGGTAGAGAGGACAGGGATTGCTATCTCATGCCCATTTGCCAAATGAGAAGACTGAGGCTCAGAGAGGTTAGGGGACATTACACATCATCATAGCCAGGAAACTGGAAGAAAGGAGATCAGAAGCAGGCGAGGCCTCCTCAGGCCTCAGGTCAGAACTGACAGTCAATTCTGCCGCATTTTATTGGGGAAGGAAGCCCCAAGGCAGCCCAGATTCAAGGGTTCGGGAAAATAGATTCCAGCTCTAGCTGCAAGAGGTGTGGGCACATGGAGGCGGAGGGAACTAAATGTCCATCAACAGAAGGGCGGATAAACAAATCAGCTGTAGTATCTGTATCGTGGGACACTGTACATTAGTGAAAACGAGGGGACCCCAGCCGTCTGCAGCACAGAGGACGCTCCCGAGAAAATGTCCTGTGGGAAAAACCTATGGCCTTTTTGCTAGGACAGAGTCAGCAGCACCAAGACGGGAGTTAAAGTCCGGAGTGAATATAGCTGAAGAGAAGAGATCCAAGGACCAAGCCCAGGGCAATTCCAGTCTTTAGAATTCAGGGAGAAGGGAAGGGTTCTGAGGGGCAGGTGGGCAACTGGGGGAAAGCCCAGGAGGTCCTGGGAATGGGGGTCCCTCCCAGCAAGTGCAGAAAGGTTGAAAGGGAGTGAGCGCGACTGAGTGAATTAATGCCGCTGATGGATTTGGCAACGTGGAGCCACTGGGACTTTGACAAGAGGGGCTTTGGTGAACAGACTGAAAATCCTGACTCGGGTGAGTGCTAGGGGGATGGGAAGAGAGGAGCGGGAGGCCGCAAGCCGATCTCCATCGCGGGGAGAGAGCAACAGGGCAACATCTCCAGGAGGCCCTTGGGCTAGAAAGGAAATCTTTTTCAGAAGGAGACACTGCCGTGTTTGGGTGCCCCTGGGAATACCGTAATGCGGTGGGTTGTGAGCAACTATGACGTGGGAAAGAGTGAGCAGAGGGGTGGAATCTGGTGCCAGTGGAAGGAGCCCAAAAACTTCCCCTCTAGTGACTGGTGGGAAGCCAGGCTATGGGCACAGAGAGATCTAGTTTTCTGATGCATCCAATTCCCTGGGGAAGCAGGGAGCAAGCCCATTAGGAGAGAATGAGAGCTGGGGAAGAGGTACCGGGGTTTGCAGAAAGGGGGTAAGCTGTGAAATGGTTGTCTAGAGGTTGGGAGCCCGCATAGGCGAGGGATACGAGACACAACTCTTAGTTATTTCAGCAGGCAGCCCGTCAGTTAAAGCAGGGCTGGGATTTGTCAGGTAAGGCTGGCGTGAGAGGGGCAAGGCGCTTGGGAATGGTGTCAGTGATGAGCCAGCGAGTCCGTGGGGCGAGATGGATGGGCTGCGGGTCCCGGGGGAGCTGAGAACCACGGGCTTGGGGCAGTGAGAGGGAAGGGACATTGGAACCGAGGTTATGGGCGGGGTGCAGCTGTGGGGATGACCGGGTTAAGGTGTGATCAGGGAGGTGAGCGAGGTGGTGTGAAAGCAGGGGCCCCTGAGGAAGAGGAGGGCTAGTGTCCTTCTGTTCAGAGAAAGGAGGTCACAAGTTGATGCTCACAGGCACACTTCTGTCCTTTCCTCCACCTGCCTTTGACCTGTTGGTGTTTGTCCACCTTTGCTCGGGGCTGATGGTTGTGGTGGGAAACACTCTTTATTGCTGGTTGTTTATTTACCATCTGCTTTATTTTCTGGCTGGTTTGTGTTTGTGTTTTGTTGAGTAGTACTTTCTGAAACCTGTAACTCTCAGTCCCATTAGAGACTGGAGGGTGCACCCCTGCTGAGATTTATTTATTCTACTCGTTTTAGTGCCTGCCAAGCTCCACTTGTGTGAACAGAGCCCTTTCCTTAATCGCGGTCATGTGCTCACAGCTGTTCTCGGAAGGGGAACCTCTGGGTACCAAGGGCAAGAGCGAGTGGGTGGATCACAGTCAGTCCACTCCCACCATGAGTGAGTAGCCTGGGGCATTATGATTCTAGGACACATGGGACTTTATCATCATTGCCATCATCACATGCTTTCTTTCTGTCCTGGGCCAGCACTTGGGACATGACAGGATGAAATGATCAAGAGCATGGAACCTGGAGGCAAGGGACATGGATTCCAATCCAGCTTCAACACTTACTGGTGCTGTGGACTTGGGAAAATTACTTAGCCTTTCCGAATCCAGATTTTTTAGATTTCTTGTTCTTAAAAAACAATGTCACTCTGTAATGTTTGAATATGAATTGAGATAATGCGAGTAAAAGGGTACTGGGCAGAATAACTTGGTAGATATTGAGGCGGGATAGTAAGAAGCTAGAGAAATTCCTGGACAAGTGGAATAAGGGAAATACAGTCAAAATAATTAAACAAGGCCAAACAGTGTAAGTAATTTACAGCCAGCTAATGAGAGACAAGGTTTTATCTTCCCTAACCAAGGACACCTAGGAGCAAATGGTTTACATACTCCAGGGCTTTGGGGGTTCACCCATGGTCACCGTCCTCCTGCCATGAGCAGAGGATTGAACACACCAAATGCTCAGTGCATATTTATTCAGTGAGTGAACGAGCGGGAGATTGGAGCTTGGGCTGTCTACACATTTGTTCCTCTAGCTCATAGGCTCAAGCAGGTAAATCCATGAATTCGTGCACACGACGTCCCGCATACGGATGCCCGAGGGAGGACCTCTTTGCAGAAATCCACGTTAAAGTCCTGGCTCCTTTTTACTAGAGGAACAGCACGATTTACCGGGCTGAGGTGAATGGAGACAAGAGTACATAGAGTTGGAGAGACATTTTCCTTCATTTGTCAGCAAACGAAGAAGCTGAGTTTCAGAAGCCCAGGAAGGAGGGTTCTTCTTTTGGTCCCAGTGAAAGATGCTTCTAGAACCTTTGGCTTATTGGGACTCCGGGGCCTCACTGGAATATGGCGGCGGCAAGTTCACTGGTTCTGGATTGGCCACTGGGTTTGTCACGTAGATGTTTGGGATGACCAGGGGCCTCTGGAAAAGACAGGCCCAGGAGGCGCACTCGTGAGAACCGGGCAGACATCCCAGAGCCCCCCGCTGCTGGGCAGGAAGGGGAAGCCTGAAGCCCCCTCCAGTTCCCACCCGCTTCTGGGCGTCTTCCCACCCACTGAGGAGCCTACGAACTCACGCTGTTGCTTGAATAGCGGACCGACTGGCAGCCGAAGCTGGCAGCCGTGGAGGCGATGCCGAACTCCAGGAGGCTGAAGACCAGCAGCACGGCAGAGGTAGCTAGTCCGGGGGCCTGGAACAGAAGGCAC